AAAAACCAAAAAAAAAAAAAAAAAATTGAAAACAATTTTTTTTTAAACCTTAGACACTGGAGATATCACTTAAGAGTTAATGCTTGCCATACTTCCAGAGGACCCCAGTTGAACTCTCAGCACCCATGTCAAGCAGCTCGAAACTATCCCTAACTGGAGCTCTAGGGAATCTGATACCCTCCTCTGACCCTGGCAGGTAGCAAACATTCACACAGAAATAGACACACAAGTAAAAATCCTAGATCAGAGATGACCTTGTTCTTTTCCATTCTCATGTGCATCCTTAAGTACCAGTATCACTAGTGTTCCACTCCCCACCCCCTTCTTGTGATAGGGTCTCATGTAAGCTAGTGCTGTGGGATGTTCTGTATGGCAAATGTGTTGCTCTGATTGGTCAATAAATAAAATACTGATTGGCCAGTGGCTAGGCAGGAAGTATAGGCGGGACTAACAGAGAGGAGAAAAGAAAGAACAGAAGGCAGAAGGAGTCACTGCCAGCCGCTGCCAGGACAAGCAGCATGTGAAGATGCCGGTAAGCCATGAGCCACATGGCAAGATATAGATTTATGGAAATGGATTAATTTAAGCTGTAAGAACAGTTAGTAAGAAGCCTGCCATGGCCATACAGTTTGTAAGCAATATAAGTCTGTGTTTACTTGGTTGGGTCTGAGCAACCGTGGGACTGGCGGGTGACAAAGATTTTTCCTGACTGTGGGCAAGGCAGGAAAACTCTAGCTACAAATGGTGCCCAACAAGTTGGCAAGAGTTTCCACCCAAAACCTGAGAAAAGATTCTAAAACGGAGCTTAAAACAGCTTCCTAATTGTCTCTCGAATGAGCGGCAGCTGCCAGTTTGAGCTGCTTGTGGGTTCCTGGTGTGCGTGCTCGACCTGCAGTATGGTGGGAATGAGGCCTCTGCAAGTGGCACATTAAGCTGCATGGTGGATTTAGCCTTTGCTACAGGCTAGAGTCCTGGGCTAGCCTTGAACTTACTGTGTAGCTGAGGAAGGCCTCGAACTTCTGATCCTGTTTCCGCCTCCTGAGTGAATAGGAATACAAGTCCATGATTCCATCGCTTTAGAAGTGGAGGCAAGATCAGGAGTTCAAAGTCATCCTCAGCTACATAACAAATTTGAGGCTGGTCTGGGATACATAAGATCCAGTCCAAAAGAAGAAAGAGAGAAGGAAGCAAAACACTTGAGTAGGCTGAGGTCATAGTTCCATTCTGTGAAGAGTGAATGGATGGTGAGTGTTAATATTAAGGACATAAGGATTGCTGCTAGGCTTCTGTCCTGGGAGACATAACGCTTATGTGTAGCTAGAGTTTTCCTGCCTTGCCCACAGTCAGGAAAAATCTTTGTCGCCCTCCAGTCCCACAGCTGCTCAGACCCAACCAAGTAAACACAGACTTATATTGCTTACAAACGGCATGGCCATGGCAGGCTTCTTGCTAACTGTTCTTATAGCTTAAATTAATCCATTTCTATAAACCTTGCCACGTGGCTCGTGGCTTACTGGCATCTTCACATGCTGCTTGTCCTGGCAGCGGCTGGCAGTGACTCCTTCTGCTTTCCTGTTCTTTCTTTTCTCTTCTCTGTTAGTCCTGCCTATACTTCCTGCCTAGCCACTGGCCAATCAGTATTTTATTTATTGACCAATCAGAGCAACACATCTGCCATACAGAACATCCCACAGCAGCTTATGTGCTGTGTGAGACCTTTAAGGGATAGTTCCAGTGCTGCTATGGAAATGCAGATGTTGGACAGTTAGTACAACCTGGAAAGCTCTGTGGAGGGTGACAGCTGATTCTTGCCGGAGAAGCAGGTGAAGCAGAAGTGAAGGATTCCAGGCAGAAAGGACAGACACCTCAGAATTCCAAAGATAAACCATGTCATAGAGAATAGAGTTAGGAATATCAGTCTTGTCTTAACTTTACCTACACAGCTAAAATAAGTACAACCAAGATATTAGTGGAGAAAAATTTAATGCCTGCAGCAGTCAGGAAAGCCAAAGAGTTATTTTCAAAGGAAGATACTCATAAACAAAGGTACTGGGAAATTTTATTCAGTGAACTCCTCTAAATTCACACAGGGATTGGCTTTTTTTTTTTTTTTTGGTAACATAATTTTTTATTGCATCTTTGGTATTTCACATCATGTGTCCCAATCTCTCATTTCCCAGTTCTTCTATATTTGCCCTCCACTCTTATAGCCTCCCTCCAAAAGTAAATAAAATGTAAATAAAAATTAGAAAAGGAAACAAAATGAAACTCACCTTGTGGACCCCTCTGGGCAACAACCTGCTCCTCTATCAACTGCATCGTTCTGTGCATGTACCATTCTGCTCCTCCATCTTCCCTGCATCTCCATCACATACTCATTTGTTATAGTGGCACTGGAAGTTGCAGTGTGTCAGATAGTATACCCTTTTGCCCAAACAGCTTTACTTAACAATGTCCATTGCAATGAGTTTTTAGGCTCGTTCAAGGCCTCTGGCTTTACTACAGTGTCAATACTGGGCCCCCATAGAGACTCTCAGATATCCTGTTGCCCTGAGTTGGGATCCTGCAGCTCATGAGCTCCAGCAGTTCCTAGATGGGGAAGATGTTGGGGTGTGGTTGGCTCCATTCTTAATCATACATACTCTTTTTTTTTTTAAAGACAACTTGCTTAGCTCATACGTATATTTCTTTTTTTTAATTTAATTAATTTATTTTTTAAATGACACTCATGACATTAATCACATTTGTGGTATTCATAGATTACATTTGCAGTATTCATTCAAATATATATATATATATATATATATATATATATATATATAATATTTAATTTTAAATGTCGAATGTCATTTCTTGAAGGGGATAGGAGGTCTTAATTACAGGCTTACAGCACATTGGGAGGATCCCGGAGGGCAGAAGTTCACTACTGATGTTTTACAATCTTGCATCTAAGCTGTTAACGCCCATTATTCAGGATACACAGACAAGGAACTTTCCTTAGGCATTCAGAAGGGTGGAACATGGCAGGGAATTAGCATTGGAGGATATCAAGGTCAAGGTCTGCAAGCAAGGCAACAGTTTCCCAAAACGGGGGCCAGGGACCTGCAGGTCCCCCTTTTATTAAAAAATGAGCTTCTGACTTGGGTTGCGTGGGACGTCAGCAGGTCACCTTACCTGTCATGGAGACGCCTGCCCAGGCTACACAGGTGCTCTGTCTTAGGTTGGTGAGTGCCCCCCAGGCATTACCCATCTCTGAATACTCATTATCATACTGGCCCAATTGTGTGTGATATCATACATACTCTTATCCCTACATACACTTCTCAGCATGCTCAGTTTAATTAATTTAAGAAGATACTAGGCACATTTTTTTAGGTCATGGGGTATGTGTTTATGAGATTGGAGGGGATGAACAGGAATGCCTCTAGGCATGCTCAACTTACACCAGAAGGCTTTAGCCGAAAATAAAGGAAATAATGAAATAAAGTGCATTAATGTAGGAGTTTGTCCCTGGGATGTCTGCCTTGCTTAGTGGCTAACTGGTGTGTGGGCACCAAAGTCACCACTTTGTTGGATATGTTAGTTGTTGGATATACATAGCTGTCCATTTTGTTGGATATATTACTGGATATTGTCCAGTCTTACTTTTTGCTATACTGCAGAATTATCCCAAGGTTGTACATTACCAAAATTTAAAATATGTATTGTTATGCTTCCCATCTATTAGTCTTCAGTTTACATATGCAAGCACATGGGATTTTGTGGGGTTTGTTTTGTGTATGTGTCCTTTGGGTTATTTATTTATTTAGAGACAGGGCCTTGCTATATTGTCTAGACTACCATCATCTCATGATCCTTCTGTCTCAGACTCTGGGGCTGGGACTTTGGCAACCACACCTGGCTACTAGTCTTAAATCCACTCTGTTTCACGCTCATATTTTGTACTGAGTTTTCATTCAAACCAAAAAAAAAAATTCTTAATGCTATGGGAGAACTGGGGCATATTTTATTTTTTGAGACAGGGCCTTGGTATGTAGCCCTGGCTGGCCTAGAATTCACAGAGATCCGCCTGCCTCCAGAGTGCTGGCATTAAAGACGTTTGCCACCACGCCAGGATCACCGGCCAACACTCTTCAATTTATTTCAGAATGTTGAGGGGGGAAATGTCAGTTCCTTTTTTGTCAGTGAGCGTTTAGGGACAGATGGCACCACAGTAGCTCTTGCCCTTCAAATGGAGGTGGGTGCAGCGCCGCCGGGAGCCGCCAGGGACCGCCAGCGCCCGCCGAGCCCGCCAGCGCCGCTCTGTACGTCGCTAGCGTACCGTGCTAACACCGGCTTGGGCGGGAGGTCGCGGCGCAGTGCATCCTGGGTTGGCGTAGCCATGGCGGCTCGTGTCCTTTCTGCCTGTGTCCGCCGCCTGCCCGCGGCCTTTGTGCCCAAGCTCCGGCTTCCCACACTGGCCTTGGCCCGGCCGCTCAGCACCACTCTCTGCCCTGAGGGAACCCGGAGAAGGCCCGGGACTCTGCAGCCCTCCTTGGCGCTCACGCAGGTGACTCGCGGTGACTTTGCCGGGGCTGCTCAGGGGTCAGGGCCCGGGCCGCCGGGGTTGGGGGAGGGGCCCCAGCAGGCTGCACAGCAGCTGCAGGGGTGATTCGGGGTACGCGGCTAGCCCTGCTGCCCGACCGGTTTTGGTTGACCCCTGTCGTGAGGCCGAGTGTCTTATGATTAAAGCACAGAACTTTGACCAAGTCTCGACTGAACAACAAAATTGGGCACCAGCTCTCATCCTTGCGGAGTGGCAATGAGGTTTAGTTGAGAGAGATCGAGGAGAGCACCTACTGCGGCCCCTGTCAGTTAGGATGATGGCATACTGTGGTCACTTCCTAGGGAAGGTTAAAACGAGTGCACATGGAGAAACCACTTGCCTGCCCTCTCTGTAGAGTATTTTCCTAGAGTTCTGTGATAATTTTCCCCTTGTGGCACCTTTTGTCTGTGAGCCTTCTGGAAGTAGGGATAGGAAAAAGTGCTGAGTAGCTTGCATATTTGATAAAACCTGTGTGAGGCTGAAATTCTCCGGCGTCACTTTCAACCCTAGATGTCCAACAACCGAAGATTCTAACCTTCTTCCCGCTCCCCTTCTGATTTATTGCCCTGGCATCAGGCATGGCGTTTTAAGTTCCCCGTGTGCATCCAAGATTAGGAGCCTACTGTAGGATAGACTCTGGGCCATGTTGAAAAACCCTTTTCGCACTCACGAATTTCCTATGCTAGCGGTTTCAGCCACACCTGCATGCTACAAGAAGAAATAAGAATCTACATCAGTGTTGACATTTCGCTGACAGTGTAATGGACACACAGAGCATTGTCCCAAAAGCTTGTCATTGTAAGGTGTTAGAAGGGCAGTAAAGTTGCTGTGTATTTGGGTCTAGAGACTAATTTCAGATTAGGATAAAATGTGATCTCCCTGTTCATACAGCATTGCTTCTCAAACATAGGTGTGCACACACATCATCAGGGTTATGATAGAAGACTGATTTGGTAGGTCTGCAAAGTGTGTGTTCTCATGGGCTTTCCAGATGTGGTCCAGGGACCATGCTTAGAACAGGCAGTGCTATCTCTGCTGGGTTTATGTTGACAGTAGAGGAACTGCTTTATACTTACAGAATGGTTTCGAGTAAGTTCATTCATAGATGCAGAAAGACAGCTGTTTACAAGGTATTTTAGGCATGTTATTAGAATATGGACGTTCTCTGCACAAATCAGGGGAAGCAAACAGTAAGCAAGGCCAGGAGGTGGCAGCGCACACCTTTGATCCCAGCAGAGGCAGGCGGATCTCTGTGAGTTCGAGGCCAGCCTGGGCTACCGAGTGAGTTCCAAGAAAGGCTTGAAGTGGACAAGTGACAGAGATGGCCTTTAAAGATTTTTCCATAAACAAAGAAGAACAGAGGGGAGCAAGATGGATTCTAATAGAAACTCTTCAGTACCAGGCGAGCTCAGAGTCACTGCAGACTATACCACCCTTGATGCTTGGAGATTATTTATGTCCCATGTGTGAGTCTGGGAGGAAGAACACCCCCGAGACAATTGTGTTGACTACAGGGGAGGTGCTTTCCTAGCAGAGATCTATAGCATGGATCTTAAAAGGTCTTAATAGAAACAAACCTGGAGCCAGGTACCGGAGTCAACGCTGGAAGATCAGAGAAGCAGAACAAGCCACAGCTAACTCACCTTGCCAATTCCTCAGCTGATCCTGTTCCTCAGACTGAAAGTCTCTGAGTCCTCATCCAGAATGAATCTCAGCTGAACTGCTGCTAAAAGCCTAAAAGCTTAACCAGCTCTAGTTCCTGGTTTTCAAGCCTTATATACCATTCTGTTTTCTACCATCACTTCCTGGGATTAAAGGCGTGAGTCACCATGCCTGGCTGTTTCCAGTGTGGCTTTGAACTCAGAGATCCGAATAGATCTCTGCCTCCCAAGTGGTAGGATTAAAGGCATGTGTGCCACCATTTTCTGGCCTCTATGTCTATCTAGTGGCTTTTCTGTCCTCTGACCCCAGATAAGTTTATTAGGATGCACAATATATTGGGGGATACTATATCATCACAGAGATCTGGCAGGAGGAAGCAGTTTAGACCCTCCAAGAGGTCATGTACGGAGACCTGGAGTAGGATACCTAGCCATCCTGTCTCAATTTCTTTGTAAAAGGTGTGTAAAGTGCTTAGTAGTGCCATAGTCTGATTTAGTGGAACAAATCAACCCTGGCCTGTAATCTCAGCTCCTTGGTAGGCAGCAACAGAAATAATATGTTCAAGGCATGTCTGGGCTGCAGAGTAAGTTCAAAGCTACCTAGAGTAACGTAATTAAGCCCCATTTCAAAAACAAGGCTGGCGATATAATGGTGGAGCCCCTGCCTAGCATGGATGAAACGGGGTCCCATGCCAGTACCAAAATAAGTAAGTTAATGACAAGTTTAAAAAATGACCGAGGAAAGGAATGAATGGAATATGTATTTTGGGCTCTACCACAGCTGAGGGGGCCACACTGCCGGACTGCAGCACTGCTAGATAACCCACACTGTACTGTGTAGATGCCAAGCAGTGTCCAGTGCTTTTACATCAGCTAACTGATGCCTTGCCACAATCTTATGAACAAGGTACTGTTGCTTGTCCGTATTTAATAGCTAAAGAAACTGAGGCATATACAGGTTATATAACTTGATGAGGACAAACAGCTAGTAAGAGCCAATACTCTGATGCTAACTACCTTAAGCAGTCTGGTTACTACATCTGATCTGGTTTCTGAGTCTCACCTCTCTGCTCACTACATCTTACTGCCTTGTACTGATCTCACTACAGCCATCTACTTTAGATTGACATGTAGCCTCAAGACAGAACTCTTAGTTCAGTCACTATATACCTGACTCGGTAGGAACTTGCCAGTGATGCCTGGTGAGCTACTGACACCTAGTGACCACATGCAGACTCTCCCAGCCACTCTTTCCCATGGCCTGGTGACAAGCTCGGCACTATTCTCCGTCTCTCCTGTGTTAATTCCACTTCATACCAGTCCTTGATGTTTTTTGTTTGTTTATTGTCTTTGAGACAGGGTCTCATGTTATCTCAGGCTGGCCTTGGAACTCAGGTTGGTGAGAGAATGTGTTACTCTTCCTCGGCCTCCCAAGTACTAGGATTGCAAGCCTGAACCATGTCTTACTAAAATCTGCTTGGATCTTTTTTTCCTTCCAGGCTGGACATTGAACCCAAGGCCTCACTCATACAAGTCAAGCCCTCAACTAATGAACTACAACTCCAGTCCCTTAATACTTTCTAATCTCTTTTCCATGCCTTCTTGATATGTACACAGGATCTCTTGGGTCCTCCTACCTCAGGAGGTCAACTCTCTGTCACTCTCATTATTAACATATTTCTTCTCCTTCTTTCTTTTTATTCCTTTCTGCTTCATTTTATTTGTGACCTCTTTAAGTCACTGTGATGCGTAGCTCTGGTGGTATGTCCCTATCAAAGGCTTCTGACACCAAATATAAAGGAAACAATGGATTTCAACACAAACGTGCCCTGCCATTCTTTAAAAGTATTCAGAAATCCTCTAGAATATCTCTTCAGTTCATCTCTTTAGTTTGCGGCAAATTAAGTATATCTTGATAAAGAGGTATACACTGGTTCAGTTTTATTTTGAAGTAGGTTCTTGCTAAATAGTCCAGACTTTCCTGGGACCCTGAATATCAACATCTCAACTGTTAGAGTTACAAGCATTTGATACCACAGCAGCTCTTAGGTCATTTTTCATAGACATACTCAGGGACCTGAGTGCCAGCAAGCAAACCCAGTTCGTCCTTTCTTATACATTTATTTATTTAGTGTGTAAGCGTGCATGAGAAGGTCAGGGGATAACTTGAGGTAGTCCATGTTTTCTCTTTCCACTATGTGGATTCTGAAGATTGAACTTGAGTTATTAGGCTTGGTGGCAAATGCCTTTAGCCTCTGATCCATATTGCCGTCTTTTCTCCCCTGCTTTTTCGGTGTTAAAGAGTGAACCCAGGGTTTCATACATGCTAAGCACACTGCTCTACCATTAAGCTGTATTACATCCCTGCCCCTCTTTATTTTGAAACTCGTTCTCTAAATTATCCAGCTTGGCCTTGATCTTGACCCTCCTGCCTCACTTCCCAAGCACCTGGGATTAAAAGCCCAGCAACAAATGCATTTTCTGTGGGAAAGCCTTAGCTACAAACTAAGAATTCAAAAACCATTTGAAGATAACCTGTTTAGTTTATGGGGACTCCATGATGAGCCAAACAGCTAAATAGGTCGTTTTTTCTTGTTCTAGTTATGACTTCATCAGCATTAAACCCTCTGCCAGTCAGTGCTTCTCTATACTTAGTAAATGAAATCTGGTCAGGGCTGCAGTACTCAACTGAGTATAAAGCAGGCTGACAGCAGAAATACTTGAGATATTGTAACAAAGTTCAGAAAGGCTCATAGCATGTCTGGTGACTTATAGGGCATGTCCACCTGGCAGGGAAATAGATGGGGCTGTGAGGTTTAGGGATGGTGGCTGGCATCATTTGTTCTAGCCAGAGTCTAGTTACTGCCTAAGCCTAATTAAGCTCTGATGTATATATACCATGGCAGCTGTTAGGGTGGGTTATTTTGACTCTTACCTGTGTGATGAATGTGGCAGTGCATTGAAGAGGCTATGACATGCTAAATTTGCCATGAGGGAACTTAGGCATTTCTATGACCCTCTTATGTTAGTGACAGTCTTACTGAACAAGATGATGTCCAAAGCCAGAGGGACCAGTCCTGATTTTGAGGACAAGTGACACTCATTTTGATGCTAGAGCTGCTGAGTTGACCCAGCTCTATGACTCAGTATACAGTAATGACCACACTGGAGAATGAGATGAGATGGGTTCTGTAAAGCCCAGGAAGCTTTGTGAAAGTGCCTGTGGTGGGCAGTGAGGTGGCTCAGCAGGTAAAGACACCTGCCACCAAACCTGAGGACCTCAGTTCAACCCCTGGAACCCAGGGAGAGAAGAGAACTGACTCCCATGTCCTCTGACCTCCACTCATGTGCCATGGCACATGTGGATCCCACTCCCAAGTAAAACATTGCTGTGTAAGTTTTTTAAAAGATACCTGTAATGTGCACTTATGTAAAGACATTTGGGACTGAGTGACAGTTTCCTTCCTCCTTTGTTCTAGGTGCCTGGAAGGGTCACACACTTGTGCCGTCAGTACAGTGACGCACCCCCTTTGACGTTAGAGGGAATCAAGGACCGAGTGCTGTATGTCTTGAAACTCTATGACAAGATTGACCCAGAAAAGGTAACTGGTTGGGATTTTTTTATATCTTTTGCTTTAATTTAAAAGGAATTTATTGCTGCATGGTCACACAATCCCCGCCTTAAAAACCCGGAATGGGACCCCCACACACTCTCTGTGTTCTCTCTTTGCTCCCGCCATCTTCCTTGCTCTCCAGGCCTGGCTCTCCTCCCTCCTATTCCCTCTTTCTTTCTAATAAAGCTCTTTATAACTCTGGAAAATAAATAAATAAATAAATAAATAAGAGGAATTTATTAATTTCCCTTTTGTTTTTGTGTATGTGTTTATATAAGTACTTATGTATGTATATGCATGTCATGGCCCCCATGAGGAGTTACAGGACAATCTGCAGTAGTCAGTTCTCTCCTCCCACCGTGCCTGTCCCAGAGGTTGACCTCGGGGTCATCGGGATTGGTGGCAAGCACCTTTACCTGCTGAGCTGTCTCACCAGCCTGCATTGTTTTTCCTTTCTCGTATTTAACCAGGTAGTATAAAATTCAAAAGGGCCCAACAAATATTCAATTAAAAGTCTCTCCATCAGGGCTGGAGAGATGGCTCAGTGGTTAAGAGCACTAGCTGATCTTCCAGAGGACCTGGGTTCAATTCCCAACACCTACATGGCAGTAACTCCACTTCAGGGTACCCAACACCCTCATACAGACATTCATGCAGGCAAATACACCAATGCACATAAATAAAAAAATAAAATTAAAAAAACAAAAAACCTCTCCCAGCCTCCAGCCAACTAGGAGACTGATAATGTTCTCATATAGATATAGCTTCTTGTGTATCTTTCCAGAGACCCAATAGATGTTAGGCAGTACAGACACATATGTATAGCATATGTATTTGTGAGTTACTTTTCTATTGCTGTGATAAAACATGACCAAGGCAACTGACAGAAGGAAGGGTTTATTTAGGTTATAGTTCCATCATGGCAGTAGGCAGGTAAGCATGGCACTGGAGAAGTAGCTGAGAGCTTACATCTTGAACCACAAACAGGAAGCAGAGAGAACACTGGGGATGGAGGAGCCTTGAAGCCTGCCCCTGGGACACACTTCCTCCAACAAGGCTGCACTTCCTAATCCTTCCCAAATTGCCATCAACTAGGAACCAAATATTCAGATGCCCAACACTTATCGGGGACTTCTCATTCAAACCACTACAGTACTTATGTAGATCTCCCACTCTTCTGAAAACACAAGTGGTCAGGGAGTGTAGTTCAGGGGAAAACACATGTTTACCCCATGACAGGGCCTAATCACAATCCTCAGTACAAGAAAAGCCTGCAAAAAACCACAGGTGGTCCATATACCAGACCTGCATTCTGCCTCTTGCTTTTTGTTTTAAAAGACAAGGGCTCCCTATGTAGCCCAGGCTGGTCCAAAATTCACACTCTTTGCCTTCTCCTGAGCACTGGGATTATAGAGGTATTACCACATAGGCTTGCTTCTTTTTTAACTTAACTCTTGGAATTTTTTTCATGGTGGTTTGTAAACATTTTTTTTTCTTTAGTAACTGAACTGTTGTGTAGTTTAACATAGTTTTTAAAAAGATTTTTTTTTTTGTTTTTTTTGTTTTTTTTTTTTTTTCGAGACAGGGTTTCTCTGTGTAGCTTTGTGCCTTTCCTGGAACTCACTTGGTAGCCCAGGCTGGCCTCGAACTCACAAAGATCCGCCTGCCTCTGCCTCCCGAGTGCTGGGATTAAAGGCGTGCGCCACCACCGCCCGGCTTTAAAAAGATTTTTTAAAAAAGATTTGTGTGTGTGTACAATTGCATACCTGCCTACGTGTGTACTAAAGACAGAAGTCATCAAATGTCCTCTTTCATTCTCCCATCTATTTTGAGGCAAGGTATCTCTGAACTTGGGGCTCCCACTTTCTCAGCTAGGCTGGAACCAGCAAGTCCAGTGATCCTCCTGTCTCTGCCCACTCTGGAGCTGCCAGTATAGGCATGTACCAGACACAGAGCTTGTTACATGGGTGCTGGAATCTGAACTCTGGTCCTCAGGATTGTATAGGGAATGTTTTTAACTGCTGGGCCATCTCAGGACCTTAACATGGATTTTAAAGAATATTTCCTGGTGATCTTGAAGTCTAAGTTATAAGCAAATGAATACAATATTTTATCTTCTGACAGGTACCTACAATTTATAATAATCTTAGGATTTTTAGTTGTTGAATGTGACTGTGTTGCTGGAGATGGAACCTTGGGCCTCATACATACTAGGCACATGCTCTATACTGAGCCACAGCCCTATAATAGCCTGCCTTTTCTTTCTTTTTTTTTTTTTTTTTTTTTTTT